GCAGCTGCAGCAGACGTCGATGTGAGCGAGTGAAGCTAAGACACAACTACAAAAACATCTGCGATGGCGTGAATGAAAAGAACTGTGGGAATCACACAAGTTTCACAAAATAAAAAGGTGTTTGTGAAGGTTTTCTAAAAACCGCAGACCTCCTGTTACCATTTCCTGAAATAAACCGACTACGTTATTGACATTGGTCCTAGAACCATACAGGAGTGGAGGCCTCTGGATTTAGACTTGAGACTCGTTTTATTTAATTCTTTAATTTCTTTAGATAAAACTAATTATGAAACTGTGGGGTCAAAAGTAAAAAAAAACTAAACAACTGGTTTATAAAAGTTTTGATGGAATTAAAAAAAACTCTTATCTGACAAAGTCTATTGACACATTCCTAACATATATGACAGTATGTGTAGTGCACACGTGGTAGCTAATATACTGTGTCGACACTGTGTACACTGAGTAAAGTCAATATGTCCATCATTTTTAAATCGTCCTTTTTCCATAATTAATGATCAATTAATCACGATTAATCATCATTGATCTACAGCCAGCCTGTGACTGAGATGGAGGGAAACCTGAGATAGAGGAAGAAAAAAGCAGGAGACACCAGTGTGGCAGGGAGTCAGTCCAGGTGAATTAGAGAAGGAGAGAGGAGGTAAACAGAAGAGCGGGAGAATTAGAAGTGACAGAGGGAGAGATGAGGAGGAGATACTGTACGTCTCCTCTGGTGTTTCGCTGCGGCCTCTCTACAACAGTTTGTTCTACACACTGATGCCTCTGAAAGTCCGTGTCCACTCTCCAGGTCCACACAGCTCTGTGTGTTTGCTTTCTTTTCAGCACCAAAATCATGTGTTTTCTGAGCGTTTCCAGACTCACAGATGATAGTTGTTAAAAAAAATGAAGAGTGCAGCACAGGAGGTATTTGATCAAAATAAGAGGTTTCATGTTGAAGCAGTCTGGGTGAGTAATGTGTGAGGACAGTGTGACAGAGCAGGAGATTTTCAACGGGGAAAGGAATTTCAGCAGATTATATTTCGTCAGAGTACAAGTGGTAGGTTCAGGGTGAAGTCAAACGAGTTGATGTTGAAATATGTGCATAGGTGAGCAGACCTCCCCAGATAAAGACTTTAATCAGCGTCAGAGTCATTAATAATACATGGTTATATTTCTCATTCTCTTTCATTTTTGCTGAACTAGACTGAAGAAGAGTCGCAGGAGAAGGAGATCCAGACGACCACGGAGGAGCAGAAAGTAGCTTCAGGTTTCTCTGGTGAGTTGGAAGCGCTTCTGTCAGAGTTCATTTCTTGTAGCGTCACGATTCACTCAGCGATGTGTTTCTTCATCTTCTTCATCTGAAAGTTGTATGGTATGTTCATAGCAGAGCTGGTTTTAACACCTTTTGAGCCACAGCAGCATTTTACCGTTCAGGAGTTCATTTTGGTTCACCCAAATGGTGCCATGTGACCCCAAAATGGAACTTGTTTGGGATTTGACATTCAAAATCAAGATTCTCTTGAGGCTCCATTTCTATGGGTCTCTGCTGAAACACGGCCCTTGATTTTCACTAGATAAGAACCAGACTACGTCAAGATGACGGCTGTACTCGGAGCAACCTTTGTGTTATTTTCACATAAGAACCTCCCCCACTGTACTGTGGAAGCAATAATCCATCAATTCTGCCTGTTCTACCCTTTACCTCGACCTCTGTTGTGACACCTGCACTCCTGTTTTTCCACTCGAGGCAAAGGTCGCCCCTCTGTGTGATGGCGTTTGTCCACAGGCACTGGTGCGCTTTTGTTTTCTAAATCATTTTGGAGGCATGCCTTGACAGCTCAAAAGAAAAAAACCCTGCTGTTTATAGTTGTCATCTATACCATCAGTGCGTTCAGCGATCAGACAAACACGCCCACTGCTCATTCGCCGTTGTTGACGGAGAAACGCCAATACTTCGGACTCGCATACAAGCACTTAGACATTGAATTGTGCCTCGTTTCCCTCTCTGTAATTGACACGTAATGTGTTATAACGGAGCCTGAAGAGGTCGGAGAGGGTCCTAATGGCCGTCGCACAATTAGGATCAGAAGTCGCTGCAGGTCTGGTTGTGCATTAGAGCCCAGAGAATTGACTCTACACTCACACAGAGGTGTTTCCTTCAGTGATCCTCTGTCACCTCTGGCTCCGTGACTGCTTTTGCGGTGCGGAAAGTGTGTCTGTGAATCAGCCAGGAGTTGATCTAATGCTGCGGGAGTGGAGGTGACACAGTGTGATGTGTACCCACTGTCCACTGGAGTGTGAAGGAAGAAGTCCTCCTTAGCAATGCAGGTCAGAGAACTCCCAGTCCTGCTGGACTCTCGCTGTTACAGAACGGCTTGTGGTGATTCTTCCCTCTCTCTCTCTCTCTCTCTCTCTCTCTCTCTGTGTCTTCTTCTCAATTCATCATTCATGGTACATGCCTGTTTCAATACTTCACTTTATCTCCGTCAGCCTGACAGTCTGTTTGTCTCTGAGCCTTTTCATTCTGTCTGTTTCTCTCTTGTCACTGCACTAAAGCTGGCAGTTGTGCTGTATGGGTGCCGCCTGCCAGAGAGGCTGAGTCCACACTTTTTCAAAGGCCTAGTCATACAGGGCCACAGTTAGGAGCTGCAGCCTGAAACACAGTCAGGCGTGAAGCTTCCATTGTTACAGCAGCAGCAGCAGCAGCAGCAGCAGCAGCATTCAGGTCTTGGGCGGTTCAATAGAAGCCTGCAGAAGTTTCTGTTTACTTCCACTAAACTTTCTAGTGACTGTCAGAAATGTTTTCAGTTTGAGCGACTAGAACATGTTTGAGAACTAATGGACTTTTACTCGTCATCATCATAGGATGGCTGCCATGATTAATCATCAATAATCTAACGGTTCCATAGTGTAGCAGTTAGCATGCCTGCCTTACACAGGGAAGGTCCTGGGTTTGAACCCCAGAGGAACTACATTCTGAATAGCGCCTCCTGTGGCAGCATGTGTGGGTTGCAAAAACACGGTTTAATGAGTAATCTGTGCTTCATGCAGGCCTGCGCTCCAGACCTTCAACAACATAGTAGCATTTATGGGATGATTATCTCCAAGTAGAAACAGACCATAATACCAAAAACGCTAACGCTAATATTGTGTTGTGAGACAGAAACCTACTTCTTTGTGGTCTGATTTTTCCGCTTTTTCTAAGTTGTAAGTTCGATCCCCGACAGTGTCCACAGACTATAATCTGAGCGTTCTGTGCATAACGTTCACCATTTCCTAGAAAGTGTCAGCGTTGAGGCGACCGTGTAGGTGTATTTTGGCCTTTTTTTTTTTACCAACATATAAGAAGCGGAGGCAGGAAGGCGGAGCACGGAGATGCATCTTAAGTGTCAGAGAGAAGGACAGGCATAAACCAGCAGATGACTAGGTGGCGTGTTTGTCCTTGACACTCTGCAGGCAGCCTTTTTATCTCTTCCTTAACGCAATAATTACATCCATTTATCAAAACAATATTTTATTCAGTGCGGCGGCTTTTGATCAATTTAATTATGGCAACGTTAGGGGAAAAAAATGTTAGTAATGGCTTAATAAGTATGAAGCTATGTCACAAATTAACTGAACAACACAAATTGCCGGAGCAGAGAATCATTAAGGTCATTGAAAGAAGAGAAAAGAAGCAATTATAGCCCAGGTGGTAAAAAGCATGTGGAGAAAACAACAAACACTGATGTGGTTATTAAATAAATGGGTTTCATTTGATTTCCCTTCTTGTTTGTTGGACCTGTTTTAAGTCAGATTCTCTGTACGGGTTCTTGGAATACTGCTCTGATGGGATTTCTTGGAATAATCTTCCACAAACAGAAGTGGTTTGTTTGGCTGTAAAGTGAGGGTTGTGGTCCCAGGTTAGGTCGTCTGTTCACCAGTATCACCAGACTCCACCCAGGGTTCAGCGATGGAATACAAATGACTGCATTTAGATGTGAGCTCACAACTGCATCTCAGTCGACTCTAATGAGAGCCTAATAATAATTCGGTCTGTAGAGAAGCAAAGGGATGAGGGCTAATGGAATGCAGGAGCACACTCAGGGGCCGTCTGAAGACTTTGGTTTGGGGGATTTTTTTTCTTTTTTTTTTTTTGCCTGGTAAATTTCATTTAGCCTGATCTGTTCTGAAAAGTTGATTTTGAATCCCCAGGTATAGTTAGAGTCAAGAACAAAACTTTTTAAAACTATTTTTTATCATTTCTTTACATTTTATATAGGACAGTTTTTCAGTTTCATTTAAAAGTTATATCAAATAGCATTTTTTTCCTATTTGCCAAACCCTGACTCCAATTATCTCTAACAGTACTGTCACTGTAAAACCTGTCACTGCTGCTGCTGCTGCTGCTACAACCCTTTATTAATCATCCACCTTGACCTTTTTTTTACTTTGTATATTTGAACCTAAAACAGATATAAAACCGTGGATAATATTGATAACATCTATTGATATATGATATAATGATATATATGTTCACATCATATATATATATATATATATCATAGGATATCATATATATGATGTATATATATACATAGTTATATACTGTATATGCATATATATATATTTACTCCTACCCAAAAAAAATCCTCTAGTGACCCACCTGGGGGTCGCGACCCACTCTTTGGGAAACAATGGTCTAAAGCACATTTGCTCAGATTCAGGTGACCTTTCAAGACACATTTACATTCAGACAGTGTCAGACTGGGATCTGCACAGACGCTCCACTGTGTCTGTTGTTGTTGTTATCAGTGTTTCCATCATGTTTAACCTCATGGTCACAAACAGAGTGGGTCGCCTTTTATCATCCTCCAGTAGTGGAGTCACACTGGCCTTCTTCACCTGTAACGTGTCGACTTCAGAGCCTTGACATTTCCAGTACCAGCAGGGAGATTGATTAGAAACACACACACACACACACACACCTCCCTCAGCAGACACCGCTGCGTCAGAGACCAGATTCATCCCGTCAGCCACAGACACAGGACAGAGACTCTTAGCGGAAGCTGGGTGGACTGTTAGTGTTGAATGAAAGCAGCGCTTCCTCCAGAATCCCTGGCTCACGGTGCAGCTCTTGTCAGAGCCATTATTTGTGATGGGGCCATCTGGAGAATCTGTGAAGATGTGGAACACTGTGATTACCTACATGGGAACAAAATAAACTGCTCACAGAACACAGTCAGAGGCTTGAAATGATTGTTTGATTATGAAAAATGAAAACACAGCAGGATGTGTTGTCCTCTGTAAAATGTCCTTCATCGGCTGTTGATGTTGATGTTACTTTTAATTTATACCATTGGTATCCAACCTGTGGCTCCTGGGCCTGATGTGGCACTTTTTTGCAAAGGCTCCCTACAGCTAACCATAGTTAGCCTGATTGTGCTAATAAAAGCCCAATGTTATCGGTAGATGAGAAAGTGAAATAAACTACATCTCTCTAAGTTTTTAGCATCACTTGCTAATGGCAAAACAACGTATTTCTCAATTTATTTGATTTGACAAATTTGACCAGTTTTTACTATTTGATAGTTTATGTTTAAAGTGCAAAACAGTGTCTTTATTACTTTCCATATAAAGAGTAAATATAGTCATGATTGAAACACCTCATCTCATCGTCATTAAGAGGCTATCAGTGGCCTAGAGGTGACGACAGATGACAACAGTAACAACTGGTTAGTTTATGTCACAGATCACCGAAGCACTCGTGATCACAAAGAAAACATTTTCTGTTTTTCAGACCTTTGGCTCTCCAGAAAGTCGAGGCTTGTTCGCTTCTCGCCCTGTTTTTTTTTTTCTTTTTTTAACAGACCTTGATTTGATTTCTCCACATTTTGAAAGGACTATTGTTTGTGTCCTCTGCGTCTGAAATTGGATGGTGAGTTCTTTAGGGGAGCAGTGGAGGGGAAATGATTTGTATTCACCTGCCATGTGTGAATGGAGCTGAGGAGGAGCTGAGAGAGCGCAGCTACATAGTGCTTCCTTTATGTGATAATGGATTGCTCTGACATTCACACACATTGTGGTGTGGTGTGTCTATCAGTCAATACTCCCTAACCCGGGGGATGAATGGCAAATTTTAAACAGAAGGCATTTAAGAGCTGTGACACATCAGGTACAAGAGTTATGTCTCCAACCACCCAACGCACTAATGCATGTACGGTTTTCTAGCGCCTCCTACTTCTTCCACTCCTGAAAATCATTTTCTTTTCATCTTTTCCTGGTCCAAAGTATCTG